AAATAAATTCTAAATACCTATATATTTTGGTGTTTGATTTCGGGGGTTTTTATCATAGGAAATCCGAGCTTCCCCTTCCCCCCTTCACTCACCAGGATGTGGGTCCAGCTGCGGCTGCCTGCCCCCCCTCCCCCGCTTTGTGGCACTGAGCAACCCCAATATGCCAGTGCCCCTCATCCCCAAGCCACAGACCCCCCAGCCCTGTTGGTGCCCCCTACTCCTGACCCACAGCTCCTGCCTACTCCCCACTCCCTCCCTCCCGCAGAACTGCTCCCACCCGCTCCTGCACCAGGACACAGGTCCAACTGTGGCTGTCCCCCTCCCCCACCATTGCTTTGGGGTGCTAAGCAGTTCTGACATGCCGGTTAGGTCCTAACTCCCAAGCCACAGCCCCCCAAGCCTTGCCAGTGCCCCTCACTTCCGACCTGCAGCCCCACTCACCCACTTGCTTCCTCCCAGCATCAGGACACGGGTCCAGCTGCAGCTGTTGTCCCTGTCCCCATCCTGCTTTGTGGCTCTGAACAGTGCCACATCCTGTTGTTCTGCTCCTGCACTTGTGCCCCAGCTCTAGTGGTGACCATGCCCTTCCTGAAAACCCCTGACTGGGGCTTAGGGACTGGGCTGGGCAAGCCCCTTTCCCTTCAGGCCAGCCTCCCCCTGCACAGGCTGCTCTGCAGGAAGCAGGGGGGCTCCAGGCCCAACTCTGGCTTCTACCTGGGGCACCCCGCCCCCGCAATCTCTCTCTCACACACACACACCCTTCCTGTCACCCCCTGCCTGTTGCATACACACACAGACCTTCTGCCATTTCAATCCCCACCTCTTATCAACCTCCACCTGCTGCCACCTCTACTCTGTCACCCCCCACCCCCAAGTAGTTCTCAGGATCAGGAGCCCCCCTCCCCACCCCCAGGTTGGGATTGCATGTTCTGGCATTGGCGCAAAGCCCGGGTGCTGTACGGTAGCTGCCCATGCGGCTGTGGTTCCCACTGGCAGGTCACATCTTGTCTGGTGATGCAGGAGCTGTGCTCCCCCCGGGCCAGTGAGGCTGGCAGGGCCCCAGGCCAAGTGCAGTGGCATGTGAGCCAGCCACGCCACTCCCCCCTTCCCTGCCGACCCCCAGCCATCACCTCCAGTGCTAGCCCCAGCACAGCTGCCAGCAGCTGCCACAGCCACAGGCCAGTGGAATCTGGCACAGTGAACACTTGGCAAAGGCTGCCAATGCAGAGCATAGGCGATGCTCAGCCTTGTGCCTTGGCTCCCCTTAAGCAGCGCCCCCAGCCCTGTCCCAAGGGCACCCAGAGGCTAAGTAAGAGACCCTGCCTGCCCATTCCTACACACAGCAGGGCTGCATCCCAGCACGGGGATGCTGCTTGGGTTCCCCCACAGTGTCCTGAGGGCGCCACCACACATGCCTGTCCTGCTGGTTCTCGCCGCAGGCCCCTCTCCCCAGCCCTGCCAGTGGAGGCCTGCAGCTTTCCTCCGCCCTCAGAAGATGTACTTACAGTAAAGGCCACAGGATGGAAAGTGAGTCTGAGCCAGCCCTGGCTGACTCCGATTCTCAGGCCCTACTCCCACCCCTCCAGGCAGGGCTTAGAGTTTCTCTCCCTTTTACAAGCAGCTCTTGTAGGCTGTAACTCCACCTGTGATATCCTGCATCAAAGGGGGGAATCTGCATTTTCTCCTTTAAAAGGGAAAATCTGCATCTTTCCATGTTTTTCTGCAGGAAACGGAAAACCTGGATCCTTGCTGATAAGGGTATGGTCTTGCTCTTTACCGACAGAACCTATAGACTAAACGAGCAAGTGTAATATTTACTCTCATTTCAAGAGAGTTTAAATCAAGTTAAAATAGAATACAAAAAAAAATTGTTTTTGTACAAGTTTTATTAGTATAGTTAAGCACTAGGTTTGTGCTTCTTTATTTTGTTCAGTAAAAGATTCAGAGTTGCTTTATTCCACCAAATTTGTTTTCTAATCATATTTACTACAGTATTCACTAAATACTCACATTTATCAACACTATTTACTTTATCAGACTGATCATTCTAAGCCCTATATCAATAACTAGCACATTTTTAAACAGTTTTATCATTTGAAAGGTTTCCTTTAGATACAAATGTGTAAAGGTAAATGAAAAAAGAATTAAGTTAAACTTTTAAGAAAATGAGAATTCAAAAACTGCTTTAAAAAACAGTTCAAGAGTCTCTATGACTCGTTTTGGTCTTAGAAAAAGATGGCTGGCAGAAAGGGTATCTACAATTTGATGAGCGTATCTGGCTCTCACTGAAACCAAAAGAACTTTTGTTAAGATCTGAAATTGTTAAGCTTGTGCATTGGACACTACGATAAAGACTACTCTAAAATTTGCAAGTAATCAACTCATTTATCATAAAAACATACTCTACTTCTAAGAATACCACAACTGTCAGTTTGATTATTGGGAACTCAGGAGAAGCCTAATGCTAAAAGCATGCACCATCAGTACTATATTTTCACAAGGGGCATTTTTAATTCCAAACAGATTCAAAGGATGGTACAAAAGAGTTTCTTCTCCCTAAAGGGATTTTCAGATGCAGGCACTGGCATAATAAGGGGATCTTCTCCAATATGAGCATCACAGTATGCCAATAAATCAGCTGCAGCCTTGGATACCTAGTAGGAGAGAAGAAATAACCATTGTAACATTTGTGATTCAGAAATGGTCAGCACTGTTTAAATATTTCCATACAGCATAAAATATCAGAAGCCCCCTTGAAGTGGCAGCAAATCTGTGTATCTGTTTTAAGGTGCTGAAGACCAAAGAATCTGAATCTGCTCTCAAAGGCCACCTCATTTTTT